CCCATAGGGGAAGCTGAAGTTAGAGTTTAAGGGCTAATGATAAATATCATAAAGCCTGCCATCTGAAATAAATAAATAAATATTCTTACCCATCGCCTCCATTCTAGCAACTCGGTCAGGGTGGAGGTGACCATCTATAAAAAGGATGAAAGTGATTGAGGATGAAACATTTCTCCTCTCCGACCAGTATTTACAAGGACGCGTTTTTGAAAATTTTGGCAAGTAAATAAGTGACTATACAAGTTAGGGAATACACAGACTAGTTAGCATATCATTACTCTTAATCTGATTGGTGATGATTTATAGTGTCTTGAGCCCTGGACATGAGCACTAATTGGGTAACTCAAGATGCTTGATTCCATCCCACAAATATTCCCCTTTAACAATAGTTACTTGCAGTAAACTGACTCAACTTTTAAAGAAATTGAATAAAATTTTAAGATCTGTCAATGGCACGACGATAGACTCACATATCTACCCACAAGATGAGATGAATTTGATACTTATTGACTCATTTCAAGAGATTGGGAAAGCTGGCTGTACTGAAGAGAGGTAAGTGAGCAGCTTAGTACAGAGAGTTTCCTAGTGTTATCCCTGTGGCTAAATTAACAGAAATATCCAAGTTATTTTTACTTATAAAAAGCGGATATTAAAAAAAAATAGCATGCATCCTCACTACATAAGCTTAATGAAAACACAGATGTGACCTTGAAGTATCATTTTTGCCAAAGTTGGCTCCTCAACTGCGGCTGTAAAGTGAGTTTAGTTATTCACTAGGCTTTTTTTTCTACAAAACTAAGTTAAATAATTTTACCCCACATGTTGCCAAATTATGTGGCTGCAAATCAAATTACACGCATCTCCCAAGCTCTTCTCCATAAAAGCCCACATAAAAGTTCGCCACTTTCCTCCCTCCAATTTACTCACGTGGCAATTATTGAGTCGATGCTCTAAATAATTCATAAAAGTGAGACTACCTGTGTGCGTTAGGCAGGGCAAGTGAGAAGAAATTTTCTTATTTTCAAATCAAACTATGCTCTTGCAAGTCAGTTTAACGTTGACAACGGAAAAAGCGTAAGACAAGAGAGTTTGTAACGCTGGG